ACCAGAGATCTCTTGTCTTTGGTGACAATTTTAAATTTAGTCCCAGACTATCGTTTTTGTCATTTAACATCATAGATTATTATTTTTTGGACACTTTTAGTCATTTTCATGACTTTTTCTATTTTTAGTAAGAACATTTTTTTCTCTTCATATTTTTCTTTTTGTTATTTTTCCGATTTCAACCATTTATTTAGTTTAGGACTTTACTAAAATCAGTTGAAAAATATGGTTACTAAAAATCAGAGGTTACCTAAAGTTCTAAACTGATTAAATCAGTTGAAACCAGAAAAATAACAAAAGAAAAAATATAAAAAGACAAGTACTATTACTAAAATAGGAAAAGTCTTGAAATAGACTAAAAGTGTCTAAAAAATAATAATCTGGGATGTTAAATGTCAAAAATGATAATTTAAGACTAAATTTAGAATTGCCAACAAAGACAAGGGACCTCTAGTATAATTAACTCTTTTAAAATATATTTCATAACTGAATCATAAAATATAATTTATATAAATTAATTAATCAAGTTAAATAATTTTATCATACATAACTTATTATAAAACTCACAAAATACATGTTATAAATATTAGTGGGCATAGTATGTATTCCATCAGATTAGTTAATTATACTTAAAACAGAAAAGAAAATGATTAGATAAGGCTCTGTTTCCCTCCTCATCACGTGATTGATTAGTCAAATGAAGGATTTAAGTGGGTATTTGAGTAGTGCTAGTCTTTTTCCAAATTAAAGAACATGCTTAGCTGCTGTTTTGCCTGCAAACAAAATGCCATTTCACATGTAGCCTTCCCACTCCAATAATCATGTCTTAACATCATGGATCTGCTACCACGCACTACGTCAAAAATAATCAATTGCAATTAACAAGGAATTAAAACTCTAGTTCATCCACAACTGCAAAAGCTAAGGAATATATATATATATATATATATATATATATATATATATATATATATATATATATATATATATAGACACACACACATGATTCATAGTGAAAATTAAAGGTTTGCATGTTAATTAATAAATTCAAGAACTCAAGATTAAACACATACTTCAATTTGTATTTTATATTTAGAAAAACGAGATCTAACCATTTTTCATAATTATTTACAATATTATTTCACCTCAATGGCAAACACTTTTGGAGTCAAATAATGATGGAAATAATTAAAATGAGGTCTGAATTAATTAATCCAAAATAAAGATTGAAAACGAATTAAGACAAAAGGACAAAGGAATGCTCGAAATTTCCCAAAAGGCAGAATCTCCAATCCCAAGGGTCTCCACACCCCGACTCGACATAGCATTTGGGAGGATGTAAATCACGGTGATTCAATGGCTCAGTAGACAGAGCTAAATGCCGGTGCACATAAGGGATTTGTCCATTTTAGGCATAATAATCCCACACTGACGTTGCCAAGATTCAAATTAAACCTTGTTCTCTTCTCTCAAATACTGCTTATTGAACTAGTGAATTTGGTATTACATATCAGAGATTGTGTGTTCAAAATGAAGAATGAATGTCCCCAATGAGACATGTCTTTAGCTATCTATACAATAGGTCCATTGTCTATGCTCAGGAGTCAGGATGACACTGACTTTAGCTGGGCTGACCCCAAGGTTTGTTCTCAACTCTCAAGTCATTTTCGGATCCACTCAAATATGAATACTTTCTATCAACATCTAAAGTGTAATTGAGAAACTAGAATATAATTTTAATTGAAAAAAAATGCTACTTCAATGAATTTTTTACAATTCCAACTGACACAACTACATAAACCAAGTGTCATATATAACTATAACTATAAGCATTTAGTAGTCATATAAGTCATGCTAATAATGCAATATATCAACATTACACTTATAATTATTGGTACCTAATTAAGGAAAACAACTTCGTAACAAGTCCTTATACTATTCTATTCATTGTTACACTAAATGGACTTGATGATCAAGGTGATCCCTACACATACTTACAAATTGGCAAAAAAAAAAACACAATGATCAGGACAAAATATTTTCATTCTTGTCCGTGAATATACAACGTTGTTATCCAGTATAAATGCACTAAGTTTAACATGATTGGGGTCATTAGTCTTAATTTCCACCAACCATTTACAATGTTAAATAACGCCATTATTATATTGATGACAATGACTTCTTATTTCTTAACCTAGAAAGAAACTCTTAACTTAAGATCTAAAAGTGCGTTTATTAAAAGGGATGCAAATATGTTAGCCCACGTTATTGCTACGAAATCATTAGACGGTTCAGGGTTGGGCATGGTTGAATATTTTAATTGTATTTCTAATTTTATTTCTTGTATTGCCGGTTTGGACCTTTAAAAATAGAAAATTAAAAAAAATAAAAAATAAAAAATACGTTTACTTGTATATTTTTCTAATTTGAAAAATAAATAATGGAGAATGAAAATAGAATAAAAGAAAACTAGAGAACTAAAGTAAATACTGCAGCATAAGCATGGTTAGGAGTATTTCTCAAGTGTTAACCTTGATCCCAATTTTTTAGGGTTCATAGTTTCCATCAATTTAAGAGTTGTTATAATTTGTTGTTAGCAATTATTATTAATACACACGAGAGATTGTAATTATATTGTTGTATATTCATACTCACCCATAATTATAATTATATATTATAATACTCGTTATACTATATACGGAGAGAATATTGTATGCACTTTAAAAAATTTTATAATTGAATTTTTGGATGTATTTTATACTGAAATATAAGTGAATGTTTAGTAACTTAATTATATTTGAATTTGATTGGCTATGCAATAGTCAAAATAGTCACAATCACACAATGGTTGAATTAAACCCAATGGTGTGAATGTGATTTGAAGAGCTATCCATTCAAATATTATTGACATAACATTATAATATATTGAGATAGACATGGATGATGAGCTGGTGGTGTCCCCAGATGATTCTAAAACAAAGGGAAAAACAACTAATTAAGGATATTATATATATCCATCCAACTTTTTGGTTCTCTGTTTTATGTCCTGAGGGAGCATTCCTTTTGTTTTTTTGCTATTAGTTTTAGTTCCATGCACATACTTCAAAGAGGATCAAGACAGCCCCACCTGCAATTTTTTTTTTGAGAAACATAGATTTTTTTATTTTTTATTTTTTAAAGCTGAGAAACATAGACTTAGTTCATTTCAGAAATTAAATTAATAAAGTATTAAAAATAGTAGGGGAGGATTGGAGAACAACTCTAACCAGCTAGACATAGAAATTAATTTTCTAGTTAATAAGTGTGTAATCTGATTCACGAATCACTTAAGAAACGACAAGCTTATAAAAAAAAAAAATTCGTTCATTAATTTTTTAATATCACTAATGACAAGGTAAAAAGAAGAACAGTGGCGTATTGAGTTGAGACCCTAAACCACATGAAGAGAGTCTGTTTCAACCTATAGGTTAGTGAAGTTGTGTAATTTAGTCCAGTTTAAGACTTTTCTCATAACAACTGTCTCGGCTTCCTTGGCCGGCGCAAAAACAACTTACTATTTTAATAACATCTCATGCTTATATTGTAAAATACTTTTTATTTATTTATTTAGTACACCTGACATGGACGGAAGATGTACAAAGTAAAATTTGAAGCTTAATGTACTATTTTGACAAGTAACTTTTCACAAACTTACACCTTTATTTATTTGTTTTTACATACAAAGGAAAAGGAAAAAATAAATATCAATTATAAAAATTTGGATCAAATAATACAAAAGAGGTCAACAAACAACAATGACTAAACCTCTGTGCTAACTAATCTACCAAGGGCAGACTCCAAGCTAAGGTTGGGTGTGGCCTTGACCCCCACCCCTTTTAAAATTCTTTAAGCACCCTATGTTTTATTTTGCAATTAGGTGGTATATATATTGTATGTAAAATTAAAAGTGAGTATGATAATATGGTAATACAACTCACTTTTAAAAGTGAGAAATATGGATTACTTAATATCCTATACATTTAAAAATGGATTAATACTACAAGAGTAATGAGTAAATAATACTCCCTTCGCCTCATATCATGTTTCTGATTCAGTTAATGATGCTTGAGTTAAATTATTTTGAATTCAATTTTTCATAATATTAAATTTAGTATGTGTATATAAAATTTATATATTTAGAAATTATATTAAAATTACTATAAAAACTCAAAAATAAATAATTTAAAAATAATTTAAAACTAAAAAAGAAAATAATCAAATAAGAAAAAAATCAGTTTGTCCAATGAATATTATATAGAGCAGGTAAAATGAAACAAGAGATTAAAAAATTGCAATAGTGATGCTACACACATTGGCTAAAAAATTTCCGCCTACTTTCCCACATAACATGACAATAGTCAATCAATCCATAGCACCCAATAATTATAAATCACATCGTAATGAGAAAATATTATGAAAAACTTTAGGGGTAATAGCATTTTCCTTACAAAAGTGATAATAAGGCCTGAGTAAATATTTAATAATAGTATTGCGTGACACATCATTTCCTAAAGGCAATTTATATTGTACACCATGGCGCACATTGCATTGTGTGCCCTGGTGCAAAATGAAAATTTTATTTTTTCGTGTTTGCTATTAATTTAAAAAAAAAAAAAAAGATTTCATGTTTTAAAAATGTATATAATTGTATATTAAAATATACATAATTGTATATGAGAATATACACAAACTTTTAACTATTAAACAAAATTGCGTATTCGAATGTACATAATTATATAAAAAATGTATATAATTGTATACCAGAATGTACATAATTATATAACATAACAGACATACACTCTATTGCGTTAATTCTCCACACAACTTAACAAACGACGTCGTTTTGGAAGACATGAGGCGCACAGTGCTATGTGCACCGTGGTCCAGGGTATAACGATTGTTTCCTAAACGATGCAAAGATAAGCATATAGCATAAAACTTCCCTAAGAAAAGAAAAGGAATTAAGGCAAGGTCCACAATAAAGTAAGTTTGAAGAAAGACTGGCGTTTTCAATCACACGGGGGTAACCACAAATTAAAGTTAAAAAGGATTATTCAACTTAACTTAGTCTAGACAAAGTGAAAAGCAAACGCAACTAAAGTTGACAACCAATCAGCACATACATTTTAACTTAGCTTCACTTGTTTTTACTTTGTCAAGTTATGCTGAAAGTTCTACAGCTTCAACTCTCCATTTCCAGACTTTAAGCTCTAGCTCTCTTGTTGCTGCAACTAGGGCACTTGTACTGCTTGATATGCTCCGCTTTTGCGGGCGTAATCTTCACGCATTTACCATGGAACCATCTCTCGCACACATCGCAGCAAATCCAGAATTCATCGTTCGCGTAATTGTCACCGCAAGCTCCGCACAGTGTTGCCCCTTGTTCCTCTTCTTCTTCTTCCTCTTCCCCGCTCTCCCCGTCCTCCTCTTTTGGCTGAGACAACTTTGCTTCCTTGTGGTGGGTCTCCGGCTGCCGGGACTGTGAGAAGAAACCGAAAAGAAAATCACGATCGAGATTCAAACGAAGAAATGTGAGAACCAAATTTGAGAGAATATTACAAACACAACCTTTCCGCTTGATTTACTTTTCCGGTTGCTATTGTTATCAGCATCCCTAACCTGCTTTGCTGCTCCTGTTACAACTTCAAATACTGTTGGTAGCTCGTTTATCATTTGGAAAAGCCTCTTCCTGCATATACAATTACCAAACAATTTCAGACCAATGTACCAAAGCAACAGAGACACAATTCAAGATAGAATGTAGCGGAGTTAACATTTTCATTTTTAAATGGACATATGCTCAGAATCACTTTTATTAATGTTGTTTATAAGTCAAAGACAAATCCAAAGACCAACATATAAGCATGGTGGCTCACAACGAAGTGCCGTTGGGGTTGAAAATCTGGTAGAAGGAAATCCAGAGGCACAAAAATATCGTTACCAGAAGCTCAATACAGGATCCATTATGGCTACTTATAAATCATTTGAATTAACAAACTCCAAGCATCAATCGAAAAAGGTTCAACTCCTAGAAGGCAAGAAGCTCAGAAAAGAAAATCTAACATGGAGCTGAAATGTATTCCCATTCAAGTAGTTGAATATGATTCACAGAAGGCTGCACCAAATACCCAAATATAGGCCGGTTCCTCTTCAGCTGATTTGCCTCCGACTAACTAAATTTTTTAAAGACCAACTATGCACTAGCATAAACCTAAAAATCTAAGGGTGTGTTTGGTTCACACATGGGAATCGGAATCGCAATGGGTATCAAATACTTGGTAATGGTAATGGGTTTTGGAGAAAGTATTTAACATGTTCGGTAGTAGGGTGGAATGAGAATAGTTACTAATAGTAGTGCTTGAGAATGAACAAGGGAATGAAACCCTTATTTTATTTGGGTATGGGTTTTTCAATTGATGGGGTATTCGAAACCCATAGCAGTGTTCTAAAAACCTATCAACCAAACAATAACAATCACTTTCATACCCATTCATATGGACAAAACCCATCAACCAAACACACCCTAATATTATCCCTCCACAGATTATACACACACAGACACATATATGTAAAGATTCAACCAAGCAATTTTACGAGGAATTACACAATACTCAAGTAAAAAATGTCACTGTTTTCAAGGTGTCCTGTTTTCACCTTTCCAACATTTTGTTATCACAAGCTAACAGAACGTATTCGGGGTGAATCTAAATCCAATCAGCCAAAGGAAGATTCGGAATTTCCCATCCACACCAGCCTCCCCGCATCCACTAGGGGTGTGGGGATCCAATCCAATCCACAAATGGTGGATTTGGCGGATTGGATGCGGATGGGACGATGGATTCTAAGTTTTCAAAGATAAATTAAATTATAATATAGTAATTCAACTATTTAAGCATTCAAAAATAAAATTTCAAACATCCCATTAAAAAATTAAAAAATTTATTTAAAAAAAAAAAAAAAGGGAAAAGGATCAAATACACCCTTGAACTTTACTCAAAAGTGCAATTAGGCCCTTGAACTTTAAAAAAAGTGCAATAAACACTCGAACTTGTCATTTTGGTGTGTTTAAACCCAATAGCCGGTTATTCACCTGGAATAACCGGTCATTTAAAATTCCGGCGACATTCCGGCGAATAAAAGTTCTGGCAACCATAAAAAAAATTAAAAAAAAAAAAATTCAGGCGGCCTTCTCAAACGGATCTGGTATCCAAACACATTTAGGAACAGATATATACAGCACCGAATTAATAGATAAGATCATTTGTTCTGCTTTCTTTTAGTGTAAGTTGTGTTACCAGAAGAAGAATGGCAAGTGTTGCTCCTGTTGAGGCTTTGCGATATCCTCCTGACCGCCACAAACGATCCTTCACCGCCTCTCTCCTCCATTCTCCCCACACCACACTGTCGTCTTCTACCGTCACACTCGTCTCTAAGTGTCTCCTGCGATCGAAGCAATGCGAACAGTCAAGATTGCAGCAGATCGAATTGCAGACGCGAATTCATCATATGTGAACTTGACGAGAAATCTGCGGCTCCTTCCTTTCCAGTTCAATTCTCCCAAAATAGCTCCCCTCTATATCGCGTTAGAGTCGTGCGAGTTCGCCCTAGTGATTCCTATTTTCCGGCGAAAATTTTGATTTGTACAGTTCTGCGCTGGGGGAAATCTCTGAGTAGATTTGGAAAGCGGAGAAGATATGGGCGGAGCTGCGCTGTTCTGCACTTCTGCTCTACTCTTTTGGTCTTTCCCTGTTAGTTGAGCTATTTTGCTTCTCCGGCAAAAAAAGTCACCGGAAATTGCTTTTTTGTTTGTTTGTTTTTAACGGGGTGAACAGTGGTTAGCGGCAGTCAATGTCGATAATTTTACCTGTAACGTGCTGGTTACCGGTAAATTAGACTTATTTGACTCATTTTGACAAGTTCGAGTGTTTAATTACACTTTTGAGTAAAGTTCAAGGGTCTATTTGACCCTTTTCCCAAAAAAAAAAAAAAAAAAAAAAAAAAAAAAAAAAACAACAACAACAACAACCATCACTACCACCAAATATCCAATTTAAAAAATACAGATATTCAATTTTTAAAATCAACCCTAACTGGCTATGTCTACTATGTTATAAAAATTAAAATTGTTAAGACATTATAAATGGTAGGAATATATTTAGCATGATATTAGAGATTAATGTGTATATTCTTAGGGATTAGGTTCCAATCCTTACCTTAGTTAGCATATAGTTTCTTGTATAAATATGTATATTCCTTAGTCTGAAATATATGAAAAACATATGGAGTTCTTCATTTGACAAAAATAAATTAATGAATTACAATTGAACATTTGGACTACAGGCAGTGGGCTTGTGAGCAAGGGATTGAGCTATAATACATATATAACAACGTCATTTTGGTAGCGGATCGGATATAACGGATTTTGGTAAGCCAAATTTGCATCCAAGCCACTAGTGGTGGATTTCTACTAAACAGATACACATCCCATCCACTATTGATGGATGCAGATTGGGTGGGAGCAGTTTGGCGGATCTATGAACACCCCTCATAACTATCAAATTCAGGGAACTGGTAACTATGTTCTTTCTTAGTCAATTTCAGGCAGAGAAAAGTTAAAAAATGAAGGAATTCAAATAAAAAATAAAGGCTTACATAGGTAGGGAAAGAGTGATTAAAAAGAACTGTCATTTTTGTAGCTGCAAACAGATACCAATGCATGAACTAACCAAAAAACTGATCATTCAAAAGGATGAAATTTCTTGATGTCAAGCAAATTTGAAGCCTTGAAGGACAAGTAAAACAAATAGGTAAGGCATGAAATACAATGTAGGCAAAAGGAAAATTTGTTTTAGGGGCACAGGCACCGAATTTATTTTTAAAAAAAATTTAAAACATTATTTTTCCAGAGGACAAGAAGATGAGGACGAACAAGAGAAAAAAATTAAGAATCTTTTTGTTCTAATGAAGAGAATGACAAACTCTTAAACTCAATCTGCAGACATAAAATATAAGGGAAAAATGCACAGAATATACATTATCTTTCAAAGAGCTAGCAATTATCTTCCCATGGATTCATGGAATATGAGAAAATGAAATGTGGACAAAATAGCATTCATTGTTACATACACGAGACACAGGAATAGAGAAAAATAGAAAAACAAAAAAGCATAGAAACTAAATAAATCCATTTACCTTTCACTCTTGCCAAACCCGAAGCGTGCACCAAAGTAGAATGCAACAGAAAGCAACCAAGAATCACTGTGAACAGCTACAAGTGAGAGCCAATCCTTGTCTTGCATTCCATCCCTAGCAAAGTTTATGCCCAATGCTGGCTCAGGAAGTTCAGGAGGGACCTCTTCCACCGGGAGGTTGACTTCCCATGTCTCATTCGGAAGCCCATATAGACACAAGTTCTCCTTTTCTGCATAGAAAACATCAAATGGTTCAGAATCTCTTCATTGAAGTACAGATTCCCTTTTTCAGTGCATAAAAGCATTTCCTCTCCTCACCAAGGGGAGTAAATAAATATTGTTACTGAATGGACAATTTGACAGAATGCAAAGAGTCCCCAGACAGGAAAGCAAATGCACAATAACAGAAAGCCATCAGATATGACACCAATTTTTTTATTACGGCTACTCTTCCAAATCAGAAAAACAAATGAAAACAATTTTTTTTAAATGGAAAAAATTAAATGGCCAGTAGAACAATATGTACTCTGTAACAGACCAATTCTCTCTCATAAACAACCTTTTTGCAAGACAAGTAGGATCTGTGGCATCATCTAATGTAAACAATTCAACTGGCATTAGTTCAGAACAACTCATGCTAAGAAAAGCCTAGCAAGAGGCCAGAAAAATCAAGCTCCCTGTATCTGATCTTAACATGCTGGTGCATAAAATATATATGAGAAAGGCATTATCTTTATATGGTATATTTGCAGCTTGAGTTTTGTATGCCTTGGAAAGTGCTAAAATCCTGGGAAAATAACATTGCCATGTTTGGTATGTATGTTTTTTTCTTGGGAACTGTCATTAATTTCAAAACTTACCCTTTATGTATGAACAAGACATTCAACAAGGAAACTGTTTTTATTTTAATTTTTACATTGTATTAACAAAGAAGCTATTTTAATGTACAAACTCTTCTGTAATTTAGTTTTTGAACTTAGCTAAATTTAACTAAATGTACTTTTAGTTAATTGGACTTTGATGAATTAAGTAAATAACAGAATATAAAATATCTTTTGTTCAGCCTATTGAAGTACATGAGATTGGAGAGTTGAAAATGTCATAAATAGAACTTATTCTCGCATAATGTCACAAAGCATTTAATCCATTTATTCTTACACATTGTAACAAATCATTAGTGCAGTAACAAAGCATTTATTCTTACACATTGTAACAAATCATTAGTCCAGTACAAAGGAACACAACTCATCAAAGCAATTCTCAAGAATGGAATAAAATCAGTACGTGACTTAAAATTTGTTTACTAGAAGTTAACCACTGATTCCACGTTTCTTGTGCCAAGTTATCTCTCCATGTAGTTCATGCATTCGAGGTTTAAATGTATTGGGCCACATCAACATTTTGCCTAATGATTTTCCTTGTAAGAAGCTGGCTAATACATCTTAGTGTTTCCAATGCATACGCCATACAGAATCAGATTCAAAAACCATCCTTCTAACATAATTGTCTAACGGCATGTCTCTCATAAGTATTAGGCTTTTATCTCTAACGATTTCTATTTCCAGTGGGAAGTACAATAATATCTTACTACAAATACATTACCTATAACTAGTATATTACAAATCTGTATAATTAATGCAAAAGCAGCTACAAGCATTGTAATTTCCTCTTCAAAAAAATCCTTCCATTGTGTGAACTATAACATAGAAAATTAAAAAATCATTACAAAGAAGTTAAAAATTAAGCATAGGCAGGTAAGATGAATGAACTAAGCAACTATATGGTCAAACATAACTTGCTATCAATATGTCTACAGATTCAAGACACAATAGAAAGCTGCAAAACTTTGAGGGAAAATATAACTTGTTAGTTGTTATACACAATGTTGTAAAAATCGGCCTAGGTGCCAATTAAGCACTAGGCACCCCTGGGCCGATGGGATTTCATGCCTAGGCACCCATTATGCAGTCGGCTGACTAGTAGGCCTTGGGGCGGCCAACTCGGCTGAGTTTTTTTTTTTTAATCGGTTTGTTTCGCTCAAAACGATGTGATTTTGAGCGAAACAAACCAAATTTAAAAATCCCTAATCTGCTAAAATCCCTAAATGAGAGAGACATAGTGATGCCCGTCATGACTAGATTTGCTTCTTCATTCCTTTCTTTACAAAGTTTATCCGAGAAAAAGGTTGAATTAAGGGCTATGTTTACTAGCAATGAATGGGATGAATGCAAAATTTCCAAGAAAGCTAAAGGGGAAGTAGCCTACTACCTACTCAGCCGTGTTGACTATGGAATTTTGGCAAGGTGTGATGGCCTGTTTGAAGGTTTTTGCACCGTTGGTGAGAGCGCTCCGAATTGTTGATTGTGATAAGAAACCATTAATGAGCTTTGTATATGGTGAGCTTATGCGAGCAAAAGAAGAAATCAAGCCTGCCTTGGTCGATGTCCCAAGGAACTATGAGCTAATCGTAGAAATTATTGAGGCAAAATTGAAAGATAGGTTAGACATTCCACTTCATTTAATAGCATATTTGTTGAACTCTTATTACCATTATAAGGATCCTCAACTTCATTTAGATGAAGTTGTAAGCATTAAAGTTATTGATTTCGGTGATACTCTATTCTTCAATGATATTGACATGCAAAATAAGATATTAAGTGAAAAGTTGCCGAAACATAAGGAGGGTATGTTTGGGAGATCTATTGCAATACAAGTATGTGAGGTGAATGATGACAACTTTGATCCCGATAAGTCAACATTTCAAATAAAATTTTCAAGTCTTTAATACATTATTAATAATTAATAAATCATATTCATTATTAAATTTGTAATGTAGCAAATTGGTGGTCAACTTTTGGTGTCACAATCCCACCTAAAAAGAATAGCCATGAAGATCATTTCTTTATTAACCTCTAGTTCTTCGGGGTGTGATAGAAATTAGAACACATTTGAAGGGGTTAGTAATTTACACTTTTACAACTTGTTTTTTTACTAATTATTAATTAGTTCGATACTTTGTTATGTTCATTTGTTGATACTTGATACTGAGAAATTTTGAATATTTTCATGTTTTGTATTGAAAATACATACAAAGAAGAGAAATAGGCTTGAATCAAATTGTCTCAATATCTAGTTTTCGTGCAATTTAATGCCAATTTGATAAACAAGCACAAAAAAGACAAAAGTATTGAAAGGTTGCTTGCTAGTGATGAAACCTAGCACGAGATTGGATTGTAGATAATGTTGAAAATTATGAACTTGAGTCGGAATTGGATTGGCAAGTTATTAGTGATTTTGTGGGAGTGGATGAAGCATTACAGCCCCCAAGAAGTTGTAGGTTGAAGAGCATTGATTTTAACACTTGGTTGATTTTAGAGTATTTTTAGCACATGAAAAGGTTGAAAAATTTTTTTACACTGCCTGTTTTTTTTCTAGTTGCCCGCCTAGGCAGCGCCTGCCTATCGGGCGCCCGATGAGCACCTAGTACCTTCTACAAAACTAGTTATACAATGATATGATGAAAAGAACTAGTAGGCTAATGCTTTCTTGAACAAAAATAAAATAACTATGTAGCTTTATGTTGAAATTGAGGGACTGAAAGGCCTAGCAGGTGGCGAATAGCCACCACTCACCAATTAGGCAGAAGCAAAATATTTGAGAAACCAAAGAAAGAGAGAATACAAAGAATATAAGATTGTATTAATATAAAATATTACAAAAGATTGCTTCTCTCCATTTATTGAATTGTATAGAGATTCTATAAAGGAACATGGTTAAGCCCACTCCACTGAGGAATAGGACTAGGGTTTCTACTATTCAACACTTTCTATTGTTTGTGGATTTCTCAAACTCCAACAACAAAAGAGGCAAGCTTTGAAATACAAGATTCGAAAGGAATTTATTGTGCTAAAGCTAATAATGCAAAGATGGGCTCATGAGAGTTAATTCATGTCCAAAATTGCTTAATTTTGTATCAATTAATCCATTTGAAGGTTCCCCCAACAAATCTACATGAAACTCAAGTGTATTATGAATACTACACTGATATTGTAAAACTGTAGTCAAATTAATTAAAATCTTGAAGTTTGGCAACTTGTCTCATGAATTCCATAAATTACACAAGTCCATACATTGATACATATACTCAATGCCCATCACACAATGCATATATAAGGACAGAGGAAAACTGACCTGTGGTGATGAAGGAAATTAATTTTTCAAATGGCATTAGCTTTTCTTCTATAATTCTACTTTACTAAGGCTTGAGGGGATCAAAATTTTCTTTGGTGAGTGGAAAGATAGAATCTCACCCCACCCCCTCTCCTCTCTCCCAAAGGAATCACTTTCTACCAAAATAATGGAAAGTGATTCTAGAATGAGGTTACTTTCCAGAGAAAAAATTATATCAAATGTGTGAATCACTTTCCATCCAATTTAACTCCATGAAAAGTGTTTCACTTTCCATTATACCAAACACCACATAAATTCTTTGAATGCCACTATCAGAAGACCAAAATACTATTTCATAGCCCATCAAACAAAACTACCCCAACCACTAGTCCACTACCAGGTCATCACCAACTTGCTATTGATTAAGTACCGGTTGTACTAAACATAAGTTGGAGAACACCAATAAGACCTTAGAATTAAAGTAAATCAAATTTCCACTGTTTAAACAGGCATGTCTTCATAGGAGTAACACCAGTTGGTATAACAATATAAGTCCAACTAAAGATCTTTCAATATAAATAAATATGAACAACCTGAATTTTCTTTGACAAGTAAATAACACCGACAACTTGAATTGTGCACCATCTTTTTATAAAGCTAAAATGGGCATAATGAAGATCGTTTTCCTCCATAGCAATTAGTTCATATTTCAACTAAACGAAATGCATGCATAAGAGATAAGTCCTCTTATTCACTATCACAAGTAGGCATGCTAAAATCAGGTAAACAAATAGCAACCAACAGGACTCCAATAACAGATGCCAAAAGCTAACAGGACTATCCAGAATCCAGCATGGCAGCAAATAAGCCAGTAAATAGGAAATGGATAAAACAATTACTTATTTCAACTGTTTTGCTTAGGACTCCAATTAGGATACAAGATTCTTCTTCAACCACTTAATTTGAAGTACCATCAGTCAGCCAAATAATTATTCTTGGTGAGAAATTCTACAAAAGCAAGAAAATAAACTAGCATTTGTAAAAAAACAAAAAAAAAAAAACAAAAAAAAAAAAAAAAAAAAACATCAACCATACAAAGCACAATGCACCCCAAAAGTCCACACCATTAAGTATTAAGTATTCAGACAATAAAGTTGCATCGCATGAAATGCAAAAGACTATATATTTCAGTTTAGTGTGAACAAAAAAACAATCACAGGTCTCTAAAATTAAAAGCACCAGTCATATTAAGGAAATCCAATACAACAAAAAGAACAGTAAAAATTTTAAAAATTACATTTAAAAAAAAAAACACTCACCAGGATCACACTGCTGATAGAACTTTTCAACGTCTGCAAAAAGGAAACAAAAATCAGCAAAACCAACAAAAAATAAATAAATAAAAATTCAAGTACCCATAGAAGCACGCAAACACCTTCACCAACAAACAAATACGTTCTTATTACACTTATATTATACTATTAAAACACAGTATAATCCGAAAAAAAGGCAAGAAATGATAGAAAATAAAACCAACCAGTGGTGAGCGCTTTAACTAAGCCAGCCCTACGGCCTTTGAAATCGTTGAACACATCCTCCACAGTCCTGGATATCGGCTGCGGAATTCCTTCCATATCCCCCGAGAATTTGACAATTCGACAAAAGGTGAGCCAAACCCCCAAATTAAACCTCAAAAATTGCAACTTTGGGTACCAAAAAAAGAAAGTTAGGGTTTTCCAGAGCTAGGGTTTTCTTCTTTTACCTGGACTAGAACACAAAACGCACATAATAATAAATACAAATATAAAATTTGTATATGCGTGAGAGTAAAGGAGCAGAAATTGAGAGGAGAGGGAAGTTGGGATTGAAGAGAGAGACAAGAGGAGAGGAAACAGCGGGAAGCTAAAGGGAAGAGGGCATTAGTACGGAGTATATATTGCTGCCCTTTTTGGGAAGGTCAGCTTATCCTTTTTCCTTTTTTCTTCAGAAATAAACATTTTATTGATTATGACATTATTATATCCTCTTTTTTCTTTTTATAATTCTATATATTTCTTTAAGAGCAAATACTAATTTTAGTCCCACGAGTAGTAGTAAAACGATAGTTTTGGTCCACATATTTGATTTATACTAATTTTCATCCACAACTATTGTTTCAGTGTCAATTTTCATCTAAGAATATTGTTTTAGTATCAAAATTCATCATGTCAGTCACCCATTCGTTTAAGACATACCGAAATATGAAATTATTAAGGGTATCTTCGTCTTTTTCAAATTAAGATCCCAATTTGAATATGAATAAAGAGATTTAAGCCATAAGATCGATCTCAATTCGTAATTCTCCTCCTCAAATTAAGGTCGGATGAGGAAGAGAACTGCGAATTGAGATCGATCTTAGGGCTTAAATGTAACACCCCGTGTTACGGCCTGCAATCCCGGATTAATTATTTAATTAATCCCGTTAATAATAATTAAATATGATTTAATTCGGTTAGGTTTCCCTTCAATTAATTAATAAGGGTCCACCATGAACCGTGGACCCTTGCCTAAACTAGGGTCTTAAGCCTATTAGGAATAAAGAAAGTAAACCTTTTACTATTCAGATTATGATTAGGATTCTCTTTAAATTAATTAATATGGTCCACTATGGACCATGGACCCTTATCCCTAAAACAAGCCCTTAGTCCTATAAGGAATAGAATTAGTAAACCCATACCATTCAGGCCCTAATTAGGAGTCTTAAATATATAAATAGGGATATAGGAGGCACCTAGATCTTTCACCACAATAATCTCTCACCACACAAGAAGTTCCAAGAATCCCCTTAGGAGGAATCAAGAAAGAAGAAAGCTTAAAGAAAGACCCTTCATAGCCAAGGAACCAATTAAGGCTAAGAGGTAACCCATGTCTCAACAAAACCTATTTTCATAGCTATGATTCCCATCTTAGGATTTCCCCCATATTCTTGTGTGTTGATGATTCGTTATAATGATCTTGATAATTGGTGTTATGATTCCATGGGTGATATTGATGATGAGAGGTTCTTGATGATTATATGGTGTTCTTGATGTTCTTGATGATTATATGATGTTCTTGATGTTTATATGATATTCCTACCGAATCTTGATATTAGAAGATGAATTGTGTTCTTGTTGATTTAAAAATAATTAGAACCATAGGTTATATCGTGGAATTCGTATGGTATTATTCTTGGTAGATTGGGTGGGAATTTGTATGTTTGGGTGTTGATTATGTTTAGAAAAGCATGATAGGTTATGTGCCGTATGTTTCTTGATTTTGATCCGTTAATTGTTTACGTGTGTTATCAATTGCGTTTGAAAGTGTCTAAGCATGGTTCCGGGTTCCACGGTGGTTCCCGGGGCGTTTATTTGTGAAGAAGAGTCAGTGGGGGGTAGGTGGGGGTAGGGGACCCGCCACATACCCGCGGCTAAAAGTGGCATCGCCGGCAGCGGACAGCCGGCGGGCGGGCAGCTGCCCGCCGGGCACCCGCTGCCCGGAATAGTTGCCACCGGCGGGCAGCCGGTGGGTGAACCCTCACCCACTGGCTACCCGCTGGTTTGTACCCCACCTTGGGATTTTGGCTTCCCCGTTTGATGTTCCCCCGACCCCCGTGGTGTCCCAACGGACTCCGTCTATCGTGCCTATGTCTAGTTTGATATTTCGGGTACCGTTCGTAGGTTGTATGAGTCTTATATATTGCATGCTAGTTGAATTGGTATCCCGTTGACCTAGGTGAAAGAAGTATGAACCCCTTAGGATTATTCTTAGTATGTGAAGGATCACGCATAGGTTTTGTTATACGTTTTCTCCCCCTTCCCAATGTGTTAATGTGGGTTGCGTGTGCTTGCTATGTGTTATGTGTGCATGATACCCCAATTCGGTTGCGATCGGATTGGTTATTCCTGAGCTGCGGTTCAGAAGCTGGCTGAGGTCAGATTTACACTCTTGGGCTGCGGTCCACCGTTTGGTTGTGATCAAACGTTTCTACATGAGCTGCGGTTCATATTTCCTGGCTGCGGTCAGATGACATACTCTTGGGCTGTGGTCCACTGTTTAGTTGCGATCAAACTATGATGAGCTGCGGTTCATCGGTCGGTTGCGATCGACCCCTCCGTGTTGCGATACGGGGCAGGGTGCTGCGGGGCCGTGTCAGAGCTATATGCGCTGACCCTCATGTATGGGCATGCGATTGGTCCTGTGGCGCCAACAAAGTGTGCTATGTGATGAAATATGGATGAGTTGTTGTTATGAGTGTCTTGGGGATGTGACTATGGGATCTATACTGAGAATCGTATATGTTGGGTTATGATTATTAATTGTGCTTATCTTACCTGTCTTGCTTGTTGTAAACTGTATATGCTGGGTATAACTGCTGTCTGTGCTTAGCTCTATCTGTTGAGTCTACCCCTGTTTTAAAAGCTAGAGTCTCGTAGGATATATCTTCATGCTTCGAAATGGTTTTTCGTATAACTATATATATATATATATATATATATATATATATATATATATATATATATATATATATATATATATATATATATATATATATATATATATATATATATATATATATATATATATGTATTGTATTTCAACGCGTTGGAGTGGGTTACCAGCATCTCTCGCTGAACAGATATATTTGGCTTTCAGGCACAGGAGAGTAGGCACTGGAGCGCGCTAGAATCGTGGAGCATAGAAGTAGATAGTTTCCCTTTCGGCCTGCGTGCCACGGTTATGCATTTACTTTGTTGAGGATATTAGTTAGTTAGCCTGTGCACCTGAGTTCTCTAGCTCAGGTGTGGCATAGCACCCCGTACTCTTTATATTATGTTTTGGGATTTAATGAGATTTTACCTTCTTTATATAAGTTTCAAAAGTTTCGAAAATCTGGGGTGTTACATTAAATCCCTTTATTCATGCTCAAATTGGGATCTTAAGTTGAAAATGACGAAAATACCCTTAAAATTTTTAGATTTCGGCATGTCTTAAACAGAGGGGATACCACGTTATGAATTTTGGTGCTAAAAAAATAGTCATGGATGAAAATTGGTACTAAAACAATAGTCGTGGATGAAAATTGGTAGGAATTAAACATGTGGACTAAAATTGTCATTTGTTAATACTCATGAGACTAAAACTGGTATTTTCTCTTTTTAAAAAATAAACATTTATAGGATGTTTGGTCCGTACAAAAATGAATTCCTTAAAATAGACATTGTTTGGCAATTAGCCGTTAGCGGTTAGCAAATATCGGATTGTATTAGCGGTTAGCAAATAGCTGATTGTGTTAGCAGGTTTGACTAGCGAATTGTGTTAGCGATTTGTAAAAAGATGTTTGGTAAAATTAACTGTTTAGATTAGCGGTTAACATGTAAAATGACCTAAATGGTAGTATACATATAATAATAATAATAATAATAGTAATAATAATAATAATAATAATAATAATAATAATAAAAACAAAATTATATATAAAATAAAAATTGAAAAATAAAAAGAAAAAAACAAAGTGGAGTTACTGATGTTAGATCATTTTTATCCCACATCGGTAACTGAGGAAGAGGAACTCTTTGAGCTCCTCTATATAAGAGAAGCATGGCTTCTCTTTTGAAGTTAAAGAGCCAAAAGGTTCCTTCAATTAAGGAGCCTTAATTTCTCTATATATAGTTATAATAATTTTTTTTTAAAAAATAATATATAGGTTGTAACTTGATTCAGCTCTCTATAGTCAATGCATAATCTCATACTACCGTCTTGAATATAACCTAGTTTTTGAAATGGGAGTAATGCCTGGTACCAAATCCACGGTGAACTCTACCTCCCTTGGTGGGGGCATATCGGGGATCTCCTCGAGAAAGACATCTAGAAACTCTAAGTCTTCAATAGTACAAAAAAAATTTTCGGTTCGTTGATGGTGCCTCGGGCTCCTCAAGATAACTTTCTGTTCGCCACACAAAATTGAGCCTTGTATTGACCCAACCAATCATACCCAAAATCACTTCCACACCATCTAATCCAAACTGGATTAAATTACTTGGGAAATCTACCCCGTCAATTGTAACCGTGACGCCTTCGAACATCCGATCACACAACTTTATCTCTCCCGATGCTACCTTGACGTTTAACTTTACTTTGGTGCCGGTCGACAAGCCCAACTTTTCAGCAAACTTGGATGTTATAAAGGAATTGGATGTTCCCGTCTTCCCGAATCAAACAATACGAAAGCTGGCACTGACTGTACAAGGAAAGTCCCGGTCACCACGTCACTGTCCCCAACTTGAGCCTTACTCATGGCGAGGATCCTTCCTTGCGGGATTCCAGTTGTTAAGTCCCAGACTTGAATGTTACCGCCTTGGTTCCAATTCCACGATTGAGGTACTCTGCTATTACTACGGCTGATTCTTGTAGAGGTGCCACTCCTAATCCAACGTTCCACGGATCCTCGAGTGTTCGGGAGTGAGCCAACACCAGATACCCTCGGCTTACGTGAATCAGTTACATCGTCTCCCTTGCTCTTTCTTTTGTTCGGCTCTTGAATTCCCCGTTGAGTCTGTTGCACGGGTAAAGATCAACAGCACAGTTGTAAGCTTCACTAAAAGTTCTTGGCTTGTGTACGGTCAAGGCATTCCTAGCCTCAAAGTTAAGCCCTGTCGTAAATTTTCAACCTTAGTTGCCTCGGTAGGTACCAAAACATGAACAAACCGAGCCAACTCTAGGAATATCTTATCGTATTCCAACACCGAAGATGATCCTTGCTTGAGGTAGAGGAACTCCTCATACATTGCAGCCCTTACATGAGCGGGGTAAAAACGCTCACGTAACTTGTCTTTCAAACTTTCCCAATTGAACTCCGGTTCCTGCCTACATACTGGTCTTTCCTGAACCCACCACAAATCTGCCTGATGTCCAA